TCTATCACTTTTTAAAAAACTTCAATCTGTGGACAGGGTATCTTGTCTACATCTTGTACAATGAATAACCACTAAGACAACAATATGCAATGCACTCATTATTGAAACTGTGCTAGTAATGGGTTTTGAAACTGTCTCATTGCTATTTGTTTTTCAATAAAATTATTTTTTTAAAAAAGAAAAATATTAGCGCTTTTTCTGGTTTTATTTATGCATATTCATGATTAGAAAGAAATTACAGAATGATGCAAAACAGTTAAAAATCACATGTAGTTCTATAATTTAAGTAACAATTAACTTTTAGTGCAATTCTCTTCATTCTGTGTTTGAAAGCACACACAAACACATACTATATAGGTATAGATACATATAAAATAAATAATAATAATGCATAATGTATCACTTTATGTTAAGAAGCAATAATAGAAAGTTTTGATTTTTTCACATAAGATTATATTGTGAATAGACTCACCAAAGATAAATAAATAAATTTAATGCCCTTTTCTGAATTGGGCCTTATTTTGAAAAGCATGTTAGATATTTATAATTTATATAATGACAATATAATTTTACTCCATAAAGCTAATCTATACCTCCAATTATTTCCTTAGCATAGATATCTAGGGTGGAATTTTAAGCTGAAAAGGAATTATTTGTTTTTAATCTTCTATCTATTTATTTGGTACAGGGCCTCATTACGTAGATCAGACTCATAGTGCTCTTCCTGTCTTTGCCTCCCCAGCACTGGGCTTATAGGCATGGGCCACCACATCCAGTTTCTGTGACTGGTTTGGCACAGAACCAACATGGCCTGCAGTACTGGGGTTTGAACCTGGTCCTTGTGCTTGCCAGGAAGATGCTTAAACTGCTGAGCTATCTCCTCAGCCCAAATACTTATTTTTAAGGCTACTTTTCTGTCAAACTGAAATGAAGAAAAGGCATAACAACATACCTATAGACATATAACAGAATCCCATTTTTCTCATTCTTAGTAACGTAACATGCTATTTTCTTAAAGCATATCTTGATAATTCACTGGCTTTTTTTTTTAACTGAAGAGTAGTAATAAAAATAATTAAAAGGGAGGAAAATGAATATTTAAGAATCA